GCCACAGTGGGTACTGCCGACTGTGACCGCCGCCGCCTGGCTTACATTCATGTCAGACTGTTTTGACATATTTGGTACTAATTAATTCATTCATTCAACGTGCAAATGCAATACTAACATTATGAAGGATTAGTGACTTAAGTCTAATTAGTTCATTAGATGGGAGGGCTTTCAATTTGAATATCTTATATGATTGAATTGTCACCTATTTTTGATATTCGATATTTAACAAGTGTGTTCGTAGCAGTTGTTCATTTGTGCGTTACTTTTTTACATTCAAAAACATTTTTGTTTCTACAATATAATTAGGTCCAACTGAAACAAGTTTAAAAAGTCATTATGCAAACATAAATGACGAGAGCGTATTTTCCTGCTAATAATATTAATGCTAGGACCAGGAAAAAATACCGGTAGGCACGAGATCCTTATCCCATTCTCTTTCAAATGACCCGTCTATCGTCGAAGTCTATACAGTTTAATGAAAAATAGTGGAGCGTATACAAATTTTGAAATGGGCATTAGTTTTACTTTTATTCGAAGTGTCTACATATGGAACTTTTTATAAATGCTTTCGTAAATAGCATTACGCATTGTCTACATTAGAAATTTCATTGAATACCTTCATAAATAAAACATACAGCATGGGTTAACAGTAATTTTGAAACCGGTATTAATTTAGTTTCAATTCATATGATATGATATTTCGTTTAACTGCTTTCATAAATAATAAAGTTGCCATTGCGCATGCGCAAAACCAAATTTTAAAACTGGTGTTAGATTTGCTTGTATTCCAAGTGCCTATGTATTAAATTTCATTTAAATGATTCAGTAAATAAGTAAGTTGGCATTGGGCATGCGCAAAACCAAATTTTGCAACTGGTGTTAGATTTGTCTTTATGCCAAATGCCTATGTATAAAATTTCATTTAAATGCCTTCATAAATAAGAAAGTTGGCATTACGCATGCGCAAAACCACATTTTGTAAATGTCGTTAATTTTACTTATATTCGTAGTGTTTACACATAAAGTTTCATTTAAATATATTGATAAATAAAAAAGTTAGCATCGCACATGCGTTAAACCAAATTTTTGACACTGCGCATGCGCCAAACCAAAAAATATGGGTATGGGCACGGAGTCCTTGGACCAAGCCCTTTCAAATGAGTCCTATACTCCTATATCGCCGAAATCGGTTCAGTGGTTTAGAAGGAGTACGTGTGACGGACAGACGGACGGACGTCAAAGTGCAGCCAACAGCGATTTTTCACATTGAGGAAGATACGCTAAAAAGTACCTGAAACGCTAATGTTTCAGAAATTTTTCAAGATAGTTTGAATATGTACTTTTGTTTCATAGCCACCTTTTTCTTATAAATTTTGCTTATTGTCAATTTTAGGGTAGTAGCATATGATGACTATCCAAGTGTGATACATTGTTTTTTTAATGCCAAGCTGTATCAAAATATACAATAAAAAATGCGGGTCCATATTTAAAAAAATAAGGTTAATGATGGCCCAAAGAAAACCGAAACGTCAGACTTAAAATCTAATTAGGCCAACAGGTAGGGAAGAAAAAGTAGCAAGGAAGTGTAATTTGTTTTCAACAAAGCCCTTACAATAAAGTGATAAAAAAATGAAAAAGAAGTATTCGAGTTTCGGTTTGTACACCAGCACGATAGTAAGGTTATAAACCGCTGAACCAAATTTGGTACACATATTTATACTGTATAAGAAGGTAGCGGTAGAAAGCATAAGGGAAGCTTTGACCTTCAATGTGATTGGTTAAAACACGAGCCAGTATTACAATGAAACATAAAACGACTGGTGAATTTGGTAAGTTGGTAGTTTATGTTGCCAACTAAACTGCCGAAGTGTCATTAGTAATTATTGTGAAAGATTTGTTTCTGTTCGCAGTGCTGAATATTTCTACTTTACAATAATTTTGTGCCGTTTTATATTTTTCCTGTGTGTGTTTATCTTCAAACACAGCGCCATCTACTACCTTCTTATAATGAGTGCAGTATAGACAGAGACAGAAAACTTAATAATTGATGAACAAAAAAATAAAGACGATGATTAGTATGCTGGTGATTGGAGTAATAATCCTTTGAATTTACTCATATAATATAGCAGTTACACCGTTAAAAGGGGGTATTTAAATATACCTACTTCTTTGAAAAAATTATAGTATTGTATTTTCATTGGTGCATTAAATTTTTCATTGTCCCACATTTTATAATTTACATTAACATTTACCTCCAATAACGTAAATAATTATAGAATGCGGTGCGTGTTTATTATTGCTGTGAAAAAGTGATGCAAATTGAAGAATGCTATAGGATGTTACACGCGAACTTTTCGGTTAAATTTATATTTTGTAACAAAATATAGCGAGCGTTTCGTAATTTCTGTAGGATGCAAGAAATAGGTATAAAGGAAATCGGAAGTGATATGACACATATGTAGGTGTATGCTGTAAATAGCACGGATGTTTTGTTGACCTTCGCTTAAAAAATAGACTGACAGCGATGTCGAATATTAAAATGGGTACGGTTTGAAGGTCGTTCACTGAAATATTTTTTGAACAAGTGCTACCGTTCCTCTATCGGCCTCCCCCTGTTTTTTTCTGTAGTGATTCAGAAAGTCTTGGGTAATCTACCCAATATTGCAAAAAAAGTATCACTTCTTTTAGAAATATGTGGTAAAAACTATTTCCTAAATTAATGCTAATAAATTAGTGTGCACCTGCTCTATATTTTGGTTGAAAATTATCCGACTTTGAACTTGGCCTATACCAATAGCTATTACCTATTCTGTGGTTCTCTGAAGTGGCTGCTATCTACTAATTGAAGAAAGGAAGAATGGAAGACCTTTTGCACTCGAATGGTTTTCCCGTATGCATTAATAGATTAATTAACCCACGCATAGGTAGATGGCAAGGTTACACTAATTGTTATTGCCGCTTAGTAGGTATCTGAGACTTGCATAAATAGTTTTCGCCTTTCTAATAAAGTTGTATTAGCATTATGCAAGTTGACTTCCCAGATAAATGATATGGTCGTTACGAAAATTAAAGGTTGTTGGAGTTATTTCTATACCCTAAATTGATTGCATGTGTGCATTTTGGTCACGCATTTACCTACGTAGGATCATCACATATACTCCTATGATAAATAGCTATTTTTAATTTTGTAACAGCAACTGACCACATTTTATCAGTTTTGTAATGATTACACATACCTATTAGCGAAAGGTCGATTTCTATTTTTCCCTTTAAATTTTATTCTAATGTGGAAACACTCCATTAATATAATGGTCCATAATATTTTTTTGTCGTGGATATTATAAAATGTGAAGGTCGGTATGAGACGAGTGTATTTAGTCCTTCCGCATTCACAGTTATCGAGATTTGGATAGATTCTTTTCTCCAGTGTTTCTAATGGACGTTGCTGGTTAAGTATACTCTATTGACCTAAAAAAGTTAAAGACTAGACTCAGACTTCCCGGATGAAAGGATTAGGACCATAGTTCTTACGTTGTTTTGTACGATTTTAAGCCAAAATTTTAGTGATCGTCTTGTACCAGTTTTTTTTAAATTTGAGGGAGCACAGAGATATTGCAAAGTAAAGATCTAGTCCAGGCCCCAGAGGGTTTGACCATGCAAATTTCTGAGACAAAGAACCATGATGCAGGGCTTATGTATTTTGGGTCGCTAAATCCGAATTTGACATTTGCACAAAAATCCGGATGACGCGGGAGCCGCCATCTTGGAAAAATGGCGGAAAATCGGCGGTTTTTGCACAAAACGCGAAATAACTCATTCGGTATCGGTTTTTTGGCGAAGAAACATGAGTAATAAATTAAAATAGGTACATAAAATTTCCTTTGAGATGAGCCCTTGTTGATGAAAATCGGATAAAAACTAACGCCACTACAGTGCGACGTAATTGTGGTTTTTTTTATTTTTTATATCCTTATTGGCTGTTCCGTCAGAAACTTGGCATTCCTTATTCAAATGCATAATTGGGCAGCATTTACCGAAAGAGAACCAACTTTTTGCCGTCAAATTTTGCTGTCGGATTTTCCTGTTGATAGAACATAACGTCCTGCTGCCCAATCAAAAAATCTAAGCAACATCTTTTTCTTAAAACCGGGAAAGGGAAAAATCCGCAGAAGATCTACAACCGGGAGTCCCTTCAAAATGAAGTCACAGCAGACCATTTACTCTTCATTCATGCATTCAGTGGCTGCGACACAACCTCGGCAATTTACAGGCACGGGAAAATAAAGTTTTAGCAACACTTAAGAAAACACCCGGATTTAATCAAAGTAGCAGACTTTTGAAAAGCCAGACGCACCACCCGACCAGATTTCCAAAGCAGGACATACATTTCTACTACGTTTGTATGGCTGTAAAGGTGATTCAGAGACAACTTTAAATAAATTGCGGTATGAAAGTTATGTTCGCACCTCTTTTTGCAATGTTCAAAATCTTGCAACCTTGCCACCTACAGAAGATGCTGCTGCGCTTCATTCATTTCGGGCCTATCATCAGATCCAGCAGTGGCGTGGAAACAGAGCAAAAATGGCCTCATACCAATTACCACCTTGCAACACTCTGCCCCGGAAAAGATCTTAAACAAAATTTCATGTAAATGTAAAAAGGGATGTGGCAAAGCGTGTGGTTGTAGAAAGGCAGGGCTGCATTGCTCTCTTGTTTGCGCCAACTGTCATGGCTCCTGCGAAAATATGCCAGATGACACGCTGGCCTTAATGGAGGAAGAGGACGGAGTTGACGGCGATGATGGTGAATTGACTAGTTTTACAGAAGACGACGATGAGACGTCTACCGATGAAGATGATACATCAAGTACCTCAAGAGACAGCCCTTTTGAAACTGAATCAGAATTAGAACCCAGTGAATCTGTGTAGTATCGTAAGGTGTAAACTGTACTTTAGTTTTAACAATGAATCGTATGTAACTAACTTCAGGACATAGAATAAAGTTAATCACGCTTCACCACGTTTTTCTATGCAACGTTATTACATTTTCTGGCGACGAGAGATGAAAAAGAAAACGAAGTTAACAATTTAATTCAGAAGAAGTAGCTAAACAGTTTTTTTTGTTTTTTTTCGGAAAAAGTTCTGAAACCGACCCAAAATACAGTATATAATTTTAGGGTACGTGCAGGGATTCTGATTTACAATGGCGATGCCAGACAACGTGAATGTGACCGTTGTCAATACAGGGAATATAAGTAATATTAAAACTTTCAACATCGGAGATGACTGGGAAATATTTGTGGAACGGCTTGACCAATACTTAATAGCAAACCGGGTGGAAGAGGAACGAAAAGGGTCGATTTTGATTACCTCCGTAAGCGAAGAAGTTTACAAAATTATGAAAAATTTATGTTATCCGGAAAAACCATTTAATAAAACCTATGCTGCTTTATGTACTCTGTTGGAGGATCAGTTCAAGCAGAAGGTATCGTTGTTTCGGAAGAGAATAATCTTCGATAATTTAAGGCAAGGTGAAGAGACTATTAATGAATGGTACGTGAAAGTAAGGAGAGCCGCTGCTGAATGCGAGTTTGGAACGTTGCTGGACGAGAGGATTAAAGACAAGTTTGTCGTTGGGTTAAAGCCAGGGGCAGTGTTGAACCGAATGTGCGAAGAGAAACCGACCAAAAGCATTGCAGAATTGGTAGAAGTGGCCCTAGCCAAGGAAGCCGCATTACGAGAATCCAGAAGTGTAGAAGTACATCAGGTTCGGAAAGCGAAGGAAGATTCTACTTCAAAACGGTGGCAAGTACAGGATAGAAAGAAGTTCGATAAAAGTAGGTGCACTGTAGAAGAAAAGAAAAGCGAAGAGGTGAGTGAAGCTCGTTGTTTTCATTGTAATAAGACTAAGCATGATTTTAAATTATGTAAATTTAAGCAGTACGTTTGTGCAAAATGCAAAACAAAAGGTCATATAGCTGCTGCTTGTAAACGTAAAGTTAAAGATAATCATTTTATTGATGAAGAGGACGATGATGATGTTAACGTTGAAACTTTAAAGGTAGATATTTTCAATATGAAACCTAACAGGTATGTTACACCTTTGTATGTACAAATTTTAGTTAATAAGACACCTATTGTTATGGAAGTGGATACAGGAGCAGGTTTATCTTGCTTACCATATGAAATGTATTGTAAATATTTTTCGAACATTAAGGTAGAACAGACGGCGGTCAGGTTGCGATATTATGATGGACCGATTGTGAAACCTAGAGGTCAAATCAAGGTAACTGTAACTATAGGAGACTGTTCAAAGACATTTACCCTAATTATAGTAGATGGTGCAAAAAGGGCATTATTAGGCAGAGATATTTTCACTGAATTTGAGTTAATAATTAGGGGTACTAATGTTTTTTATAAAGATGTTTCGTTACATAATCGTAATGTATCAATTAATAAGGTTAATGTTGAAGTACCAATAGAATTAGATATTTTGTTAAACAAATATAAGAACCTTTTTAAAGCAGAACTAGGCTTATATAAGGGTGAGAAAATTAATTTGTCAGTAGTTGAGAATGTAACGCCCACTTTCATAAAAGCACAACAAATCCCAATAGCGTTCAGAGATAAAGTTAAACAAGAATTAGCTAGATTAGAGGGAGAAGGCGTAATTTGCAAGGTGGACAATTCTGAATGGGGTACGCCATTAGTACCAGTCCTTAAGGCAAATGGAAAGGACGTGAGAGTGTGTGCAAATTACAAAATTACAATTAACAAATTTTTAAGGGATGTAAATCATCCGTTACCGTTAATTGAAGAAATATTTTCTTCTCTTGGCGGGGGACAACGTTTTACCAAATTAGATTTCTTAAACGCATATAACCAGTTAGAATTAGATGCAGAAACAGCAAAACTTTTAGCTTGGAGCACACCTTATGGCATCTATGAGGTAAAACGACTACCATATGGCACTAAGCCTGCGTGTGCTATATTCCAAAGTAAAGTAGAAAAGGTATTACTAGGATGTCAAAATACAGTAAACTATCTTGATGATATCGTAGTCACAGGTAAAACTGACAAAGAACATCTGGAAAATTTAGCAGTTGTTTTTGAGAAATTGTATCGTGCAGGTTTTAGACTAAATATAAAAAAATGTGAGTTTTTTCGAGAATCTATTTCATATTTAGGGTATAAGATTACAGCTGAAGGGTTAGGAACGGATAGTAGAAAGATAGCTGCAATTCAAGAAATACCACAGCCAAAAGATGTTACAGAATTGCGTTCTTTTATTGGAATGGTTAATTACTATTCGAAATTTGTGCATAATTTCGCTGATAAGTTGAAACCATTATATAATCTTTTAAAAGAGAGCTCAAAGTTTACTTGGTCTATACAATGTGAGGAAGCATTTCAGTTAGCTAAACGAGAAATAGCATCTGAGAAAATATTAGTACATTTTGATCAAAATAAACCAATAAGGTTAGCTTGTGATGCAAGTCAAAGTGGAATAGGCGCGGCACTATCACATGTAATGAGGGATGGTACTGAGCGTCCTATATGTTTTGTGTCAAGGGTTTTGACAAAAGCTGAGGAAAAATATGCAATGGTTCAAAAAGAGGCTTTAGGTATCTATTGGGCGGTGCAAAAATTGTACCAATATTTAGCGGGACGTAAATTCGAGATTGTCACAGATCACAAACCTTTACAAACAATTTTTGGCGAATTTAAGACATTACCTAAGATGGCCGCTGGAAGGATGCAGCGATGGGCATTATTTTTGTCAGGGTTTGATTATAGTATTAGGTATATAAAAGGTTCAGATAATGTAAAAGCAGACGCCTTAAGCAGATTGCCTATGAAAACAGTAGAAATTAATGAGGGCGATGAGGTTGATTATTTTAATTTTTTGGAAACTGTCAATGTTATTGATTCCATTAGGTTAAGAGCTGAGACAAGAAAAGACACTGAATTAAGTAAAGTATTCAATTTCATTAGGTATGGTTTTCCTCATACCAAAGATAGTGACTTATTACCATATTGTAGACGTAAAGATGAATTAACAGTAGAGAAAGGAGTAATTATGTGGGGCTACAGAGCAGTAATTCCTGCTAAATTGCGACAACAATTGTTAGCTGAATTACATAGTACACATGAGGGTATTAGCAAAATGAAGGCTAATGCTAGAGCATATTTTTGGTGGCCCGCTCTAGATAGTGATATTGAGAAATGTGTATCATCATGCAGGGGATGTATGCATAGTCGATCGGAACCTAATAAGTCAGTATTGACACCAAATTTAAAAACGTATACAGCATTTGAAAGAGTGCATGCCGATTTTTTGGGCCCTATTAAAAACAAAATAATTCTTGTTATCATTGATATGCATTCAAAATGGCCTCAAGCTTACATTATGAACAGCACTGATGCTGGAACAACTATAGAGAAATTTAGGGACTATTTTTCGATTTTTGGATTACCAAGTGTTTGTGTCACTGATAATGGTCCACAGTTTACTTCAAACGAATTTTCGAAATTTTTAAGTATGAATGGAGTGAAACATGTTACTTCTCCTCCATATCATCCATCAAGCAATGGATTTGCAGAGAATTTTGTAAAGAGTATTAAGAATGGTATCTGTAAGTCGTTAAAGGATGACTCAAATCGAGGTGTTTCTTTAGAAACAATTTTAAATCGATTTTTGTTTCATTATAGGAACTCGGTACATACTAGTACTGGAGTAACCCCATCTAGCTTAGTATTTAGGAACAAACCGAAAAATAGGTTAGATAGGTTGTTAGAAGTAAAGAGTAGTAGTGACAATAAGGTAAAAGATTATAAAGGAAACCGACAAGTAAATTTCAAAATAGAGGAGCGAGTTTGGTGTAGAGATTATAGAAACCCAAATAAAAAGGGATGGGTAGAAGCAAAAATTGAAGAAATAATAAATGAAAGAGTATATTTATGTAGGGTACTTGGAGAAGAGTTAATATGGAAAAGACATGTTGACCAAATTTTAAAAATGAAAGGGGATAAGGTAGAGAATATGAGTAAGACAGTAGAGACAGGGGAACGGGTGCAATTTCAAACAGTTGATAATGAAATAGGTACGAAACTTAATAATAGTAATATTAGAAACCCAGAGAATATCGAAAATGATTCCCTAGTGAAGGTACAACCAAATAACGAATGTAAAGAACAAAATTTAACCTCTGAGTCAGAGTTGGTAGTTAATACTGAGAATAACTTCAGTAACAATAGTTCTGGGGAGGATAACTTTTGCTCTAAAAATATTGTGTCTGATTGGAATAGTAATAGTAGACCTAAGCGGGTAATAAAACCACCAGTACGTTTAAATTTGTGAGGGGGTATTGTAGTATCGTAAGGTGTAAACTGTACTTTAGTTTTAACAATGAATCGTATGTAACTAACTTCAGGACATAGAATAAAGTTAATCACGCTTCACCACGTTTTTCTATGCAACGTTATTACAATCTGAATCATCGCAAGTTCAGAAGCCCCAGCGTATCCAAAACGCTCAAAGAGGATCATGCAGCTGTCCAAACAAGGCCCAGAAATGTCATCTGATGCGACAGAACCTGAGGAGTTTGATCAACCCGATTCATCAAATCGGAAGAGATAAAGATAAAGAGCAGCCACTATAGATCAACACACCAACGTCGTGGATCGTTTCGGTTTAGGTTGCGTCAATTCAGTCACTCTAAAATCATCATTTTGCGACAAAAAAATGGCTAAGAGACTGAGTTGACACAACCTGAGCGGCGGGGGTTTTAATGAGTAAGGCCTTTTGAATCATTCAATGCAGAAATCATGTAAATTATGAATAAAAATTTTAAAACTTAGGTATGATCTTGATACTCACTACACCGTGAATGCGAAGTAGGTTCGGGCAATTAAAGTGGAGGACTGCAAAATTCAGCAAATTTTTGATTTTATAGAAAACACTTTGAGACGATGTTGCGATGTCAATTTTGGTCCGATTTAAACAAACTTGGGCTCATTTTAAAGGTAATTGGATGTTCTTCAAAAGCTCCTCATGTTCCGAGAGATTACTGCTTGTGAATGACGTCAGTTCCGTTTTTTTTCGCGCGAAATATTGAAAATTGCGAAAACTTCATTTTTGGGCCGAAATTCGTCGCATTGTAGTGGCGTTAGTTTTTATCCGATTTTCATCAACAAGGGCTCATATAATTTGATGTACTTTAATTTATTACTGAAGTTTTTTCGCTAAAAAACCGATACCAAATGAGTTATTTTGGGTTTTGTAGAAAACACGCCGATTTTCCGCCATTTTTCCAAGATTTCGTCATGCGGATTTTTGTGCAAATGTCAAATTCGGATTCAGCGACCCAAAAAACATAAACCTTGGTTCTTTGTCTCAAAAATTTGCAAAGTGGATCCCTGTTTTGAGCTCTAGGGCCTGGACTAATCTGACAGGAGCTAATTAGGTTTATGTCTTACTTACCATTTTGGAAATGAACAATTCGCACAACCATTTAATAATAAATGGAGAAGAGACTATCTCCATCAGCAAGCGTACAGGTGTTCCAGAATAGTTAAGCGGCATTTTATACCATGTAACGGGAGCCCGTTGACGGATCATTTGGATTTGAATTTTATTTAATTTTTTTATTTTTTGAGATTTTATATTGGTTCTTCTGGCATTTACTCGTGTAGGGGCGGGAAAGAATAACCATACCGCAGAGAGCAATGCGTGTCGTGTAGAAAGCGACTAAACAACAGCAATTCAGCCGCAACCCTATTTTGACTGTTGACATTTTGACTTTGTAAATGCGTTTGAGAGCATGGGGCGCCAGTGAGCCGTGGGATATTGCGTGGTTGGGTGATATTGTTTATTTTAACGTCGCCGCTATCGAGACTGCTGCGTTGCATGGGATTTACTACCTCATTAGGAAATTATTTCACGTTGAGTGGATTTATAACAGTCAAAGGCATTTGATTGGTTGTGTAAATGTAGTTTTATTGGTGGAAACGCTTTGCGTCCTGTCAGGGAATGCGCATTGAATCCTCAGCGTAGTAAAGTTAATCCTGTCTAAATTATCGTAGGGTGGATTTTGTTTTGTGTCAAAATTCGCATCGAGCCACGAGAGAAAACTAGCGTGAAGCGGTCAGTACAGTTAAGTCGGTCACCCGTAATTTAGCGCAGGGTGTGTTTGATTTGTATTTTAGTGTCAACACTTCGGTGTCAACAGTTTGCATCTCTGAACACAATAACACTAAAAATATCAATTAACAACTTAACTCTAACATTAGCATGGATTGCAACTTAAAAAAGTTCTTCAGCACGTTTCTTTGATGTTTCCTCCCCATCTTTGGAGTTGTAGGTGAATGGGGAATTAGGTCGTTGATGTTTCCACGCTATATGAGCAGTGGTGTTCCTACGTTATGAAACAGCGGTAGGAGTTTAAATGTACGCCATTGACAACGTACCTGGAGTACTTCCACGCTATAGGAGCGGCGGTGGTGATGTAGCGGTAGTATGTATACAGAAGAGATCTTCTTCGGTATAGACGCTGAAGCAGACTGAATTTTTACGCCAATGCACACTCTATTACTCCTACGTTTTTTTGGTGGGGATATGTCACTGTCAGCTTGCTAAAGACATTCGTAGAAGAGCTGGCGGTATTAGAAATGTGGTGTTGCCATATAAATGTTACAGTGAGCAATGATCTAAGGAAATTCCCATCTCTGCCACAGATTAAAAATCCACCTCAAACCAGGTTCGAACACTCCACCTCCGGATTTATAGCCCAACGCTCTACCACTGAGCTATAAGTTTTTAGTGACTCATTCACAGAGGATAATTTACGGCCCACAAACTGTACGAACAATAGTGGAAATGTGAACTGACAAAGATTAAAACTGCGTGACTTTAAGTTTAATTGAGAGACAGACATTTGGCTCGAATGCGAGCACCTGCTTAAAATTAAACAGGCGAAATTAAATTCTGTCATTCAATTGAATGGAATTTGTAAAGTGGCAATTCAATATAACAGAAGCAAGTAAAAGGGGGTTAAATTTAATATAATTTACGTTAGCTGCTCGCACATTTGGACAAACGTAATTCTAATTTCAAATAATTGACATTAGCTGGACCGCTAATTTCACAAAAACAGGATTTTTAGTAATAATTTTTAGCACTGGTCGGGCACATAATTTAGCAAAGACTATAATTTATGTAAAATAAAATAATGAAAATGAGAGTAACCCATAACCGCGGCAGACTTAATTTTAATTAGTCATGTCCTTAAATTACGCCCTCAGCAGCTGATGATAGATGCATTCATAGTTTTGTGAATTATAAACGCTACGTACAAATTATTATATTCCTATTGAATTCAATTAATCAGTGATAAATGAAAAGATATTACCTTACAATATTGCACATTTTTACTAACTTCATTCTACGATTTAAGGTTGTCTTAAAAGAAAAGAGAATTTTGTGTAAATAAGTAATCAATACTTCACGAAAAATATAAACTGGACCCGCAGACGCTGTTGTGTAGACGACAATTTGTCCTGAGAAGATTGTTGGTGGCGCTTCACGACGCTTTTCGTGTACTGGAATTCTGGTTAATTTGTAAAAAGGCGTGTCGAAGCTCGCGATTGGTCGAAGGTCTTCCGGGTAATAAAATCTATTTTCTGATCTCTTCGTCAGTCGGAGGGCTGCTTTCGCCTGCTGGTGCTGGTGCTGGTTCTCTATTGTGAATAATGCTGTTATACGGGGTGTCAATTTTAAAACTTGCAATATTAAAGGTGGGTATGGATACCACTTAGTCTCAGAGAAAATTCCTTCCGATAGAATAGAAAGAATTCGGAGCATGTAAGCGAAGACAAAATGACCGTACTCACGTAATTAGTGAAACCCAAGGTATAGCCTTTCCAACTCGAAGAGAAATGCAGAAACTAAAGCGGGGATCCACAAAATATAGGTTCAAGCGCCAGAAATAATTATAATTGGAAATTGCAATTAGAACCTCATGGGTTTCGCCATTACCCTACGCTCTGCTGAACTGAGACGTGCTTGTACTAGAACGTCGGAAGAGGAAATTGAAAAGCAAAGAATGCGTCTTGAGGCTTGCTTGGAAAAATACACCCAGATGACGCCAACGCAATCGCGGTTACAATTTTGGTATGCCGGCGAATATCGAACAATGCAGTGACTGCGAATCAAAAATAATTCCAAAAATATCGTCCTTCTGTGCGTTTTTACCATTTACAGACTCTGCTCTCACAGTTTTCGTGCAAGGTTTCCAAAAACCAAAATATAAAAGGATTTTGTGGAAGTCATCTCGGTTTTTTCTCTTGCCACTTTTCGGAATTGTTTTGAGGAAGCGAATACTTTTTCCAAATGTAAATGTGTGTCATATTCAAAAAGTTCACGAAAAGATGGTATCTGCCTAGTTCCTTGTGAATGATTTGCGAAGGATATTTTAAAGTAGGTAGGACTACTATTAATACTATGAGAAATTGCTGCTGTGAAATCTCAATAAACCATTGTATTTTAGTACTCACATTAATTACCGTCTTCAATAAACCTTTTACTATAATAAGTCAAGATTTCTGTTACAATTTTACCTTTCTCCGCTATATAGAGACTTCGACAAGTCTAGAATTTTAAAACGGTAAAAGTTAATCATAATTCATGCAAACAGCTCACTCATTTTGTTCTTGCTCCAGTGGATTTCGCGGCACAAAATAAAGGAAAGTTGTTACACAACGATAAAACAAATAATGGTCAAAGGGTATATTGTTATTTTATCGAAAGTAGAAGGCGTACATTGGCAAATGCTGCGTAATGCGGATAAGTGCAATTTCCAAACAAGGTAAAAATTAATGACAATCCAATTGCAAAATGATCGTTTGTACAGTAACGGTTAATATGTTTTTAATTCGTCACACACTTCATTTGTGGCCGCTATTAGTTAGGTACCGAAATTGCAAAAGATCACTTGATTATTCATTCATCTTACAGCTTGCCCGAAATTAGTGCTCGAATGCTAATTTTTCAACATTCTGTTAAATGGCATTTAAGCTGTAAAAATGGAATTAGAACTGGTTACCTCATAATCATTTATTGCATCACTTACTTAATTCTCCTCTGTTGTAAATCACTTCGTAGGCATCGATTATTTATATCTATATTATTCGAACTGGGCATTTCCTTTATATATTATATATCGAGGTGCGTTCATTTACATATATTTAGAACAGGTGATCTATTTAAATTCATTTTCGACATTTTAGCATAAAATTCTACGGTACTTTTATATACCAAATGGCAAAACCATTTTTCTGTCTATTTCAATCAGATAAGCTAAAAAGGATTAACTTGATGGGCACCCGGAGTACAATTTTGCATAAGGACTTACGGACTATCCTCCTTCCTCAACATTTTCCAAAATCACTTGCTTCATATTGAACTTGAGATCATTTCTTTCCGACAAATTATATAGATACGAAATGGTTGGCTCTTATACGCACGTTCCTCCGTGGGACATTCCTTTTAGATCCGATCGTTCCGATAACCAGTGTGTACAGCAGGCATGTCAAACTCATTTATCGCCAAGGGCCATTTTACGGTTTTTACATACAGCCGCGGGCCATATCATAAAAAAGTTCACATTAAGAAAATTGTGATGTTTTATTATCTAATGTATGCAAAATAATATAATAAAACGAAAAAATACAAATAATCATAAAATTATGAAAATATTGTG